TAATTTTTCATATAGTTCTTCATAGTTATGAAATCTAAAAAGTTATCTTTTAATTTTCAAGGATCTGTTTAAAATTAAATATAAAATGAATTCTAAAATCTTATTAGCTTTTCCTTCTTTTTGAATATACTTGCTCATCATTCTTCAAAAAGTGCTTTTGTACCAGTGTATAGCATATTTCTAGAGCCTTCTAGATAGCCTCTTTGGAAGACAATTTCTATAACCCAATCTGTGACATGAAAACACAGTTGATTCACAGAAAGTGTTTCGTAACAGCTCAGCCCCCAAGTGGCTGAGGTACTGATCACAGTCACAACAATGACACAAGCATTCTTACCAGGAAACCTTGAGACCCGTTCCAGGCAATGGGCAGGTTTTATTGTCCTGATTTAAAATGCTAGGGGACACTTCCAGGCCAGCGTTTACGGTGATAACTGGTCTGGCCCTAGGTTTTTTTAAAAAAGAAGGAAGAAAAAGAGAAAAGATTATAAACAATTAGAGTGACATGAGCATTTTAGGTTCATATTTACCACAGATAGGATTCGTGTTGACTGAAACACACAACGGCAAATATGACAGAAATCTAGGATGACCAACCACGCCCATTCACCCTCCCCGCCCTGAGCCAAGACAAAAAGCCCCGCGTCAGAGGACATCGCTCAGGGCCGAGCAAAGTGGGACAGCCAGCCAGCCAGCCAGCCTGAGCTCAGGCCACGACCACAGAATGGTCAAATGTGACATCGCGATCCAGCGGGCTCCAACTGGTGGTGCTGATACAGAATGCCGCCCAGATCCATCCAAGATCCAGTTGTGGCAGGTGAGGAAAAGCATACCACAGCACAGGAAAAGCACCTACAGATATACAAGTGCACACACACCCACACGTGACTTCTTTAGTGTGGGGGCATTTCTGGTAGAATGTACTAATGAACTGGAAATGTATAAAAAAAAATTTTGTTTTCATTTGTGTATTAGGTACAGGACCTCACTAAGCAGCTTAGACTCATAGTGATCCTCCTGTTTTTAGCCTCCCAGCCCCTGGGATTACAGGTGTGCACCACCACGCCTGGACTTTGTCACTGGCTCAGCAAGTCCCGGGGGCTGGGCCAGGGCAGCATGTGGAACCAGGGATCGAACGCTGGTCCCTGAGCTTTCCAAAGCAGGCGCTTTGCTGCTGAGCTATCTCGCCAGCCCTCAAAACATACAGTTTTATTGTATGTTCTTTTTTTGTATTGTTTGAATGTTGACCATGTGAATACAACCTCAATAACAGCAGGCATATATATGTATATATATGTATTATAGTATATACATACACAGATATATAGCTCAGGCTGGCCTCGAACTCATCATGATCCTCCTGCCTCAGCCTCCCAAGTGCTGAGACTACAGACAGCTATGTCCCACCAAACGCAGCTATCAACAGTAAATTTAAAAATGGAGTCAAGGGGCTGGGGAGAGAGTTCAGTAGAATAAGTGCTTGCCTGGCAAGGGCAAGGTCCTGAGTTCAATCCCCAGTACCACAAAAAAAAAGAAAAAGAAAAATTAATATTCAGATTGATATTCATAACCCAAAATGCTTTGATAGCCTCAAATCTGAAGGATTTTTTTAAGGACCAACACAGTGTTTAAAATGTTTCCAAATTTGAGGCTTCTCAGCTTTTCTGATTAACCACACTCAAATGGCAAATGCAAACATTCCAAATCTGAAAAACTCTAAAATTGGAAACACTTTGAGCTGTAAGCATTTCAGGTGAGAGATATTCAACCTGTAAATACAGTTTTCCACAGTTGAAATGCACAAGCTTAAATCCTACAAACATATCTAGCAGGCTCAGGTCAGCAGGCCTATCTTGAAACAATAAATCCCCAGAAGCTGCAGATACACAACAGGTTTTTACCACAGCCGTAACTGTGTTGACCCAGGGCAAACACTGTTTCCCAGCACCCATGTTAGTTTTCCTGCCAGGTATAAACTCGGTCCACAGGAAGGTAAATATCTTAATCTACCTGCAGACTAGGGAATTCTGCAGGGGATTCTGCAGTTTTTCCAGGGGGCCTCCTAAGGCCTGGGGAACTGGCAAGATATGGAGAACCAGCAATATATATGTAGCTGGAAAACAAAGATGTAGGAATTTATACACATCACTCTAATAAAATCTTCCTTTTGCAGTTCCTTATAGTGCTTTTGTTCCCACAGACCTCTGAGGCATAGCACCAAGTTAATCTCCTGCCATTTGTAGAAAACATAAACCCACACACTGCTTTCTCTTGTACTGCTGGATGGAACCCAGGGCCCCATGTGTGCCAGGTGAGGAGCCCTCTCCAGAGCCACACTCCTGTCACCACTGTGCATTGTGTGTGTGTGTGTGTGTGTGTGTGTGTGTGTGTGTATTTCTGAGACAGGGTCTCACTATGCAGTTCAGGCTGGCCTTGAGCTCACTTTGTAGCCCAGGTTGGTCTCGAGCTCACAAGGATCCTCTTGCCTCAGTCTCCTGAGTGCTGGGATTACAGGCATGCACCACTATGCCCAGCCGCATCCATGGCATTTTTGAAGAGATCAGAAACACAGGAGGAGAAATTTTTAAACACAGGAGAAAGTTTTTGGCCAAAATTCAAAACATAACAAGGGAAAATTCTGAATGTTTTTCTAACTAAAATGTCTAGTCTTCTCTTTGAGTTTTCCTTGTATAAAAGCATGTTTTGCCTTTAGCAAATCTGGAAGCATAAAAATCAAATTGAAACACTGGCGCTAAATTTAAAAACGTTCCCAATAATTCAGTGTTCCTGTATTACAGAAGAATATGAAAAAAAAAAAGGGAAGACCATGGATGTACCTGTATAGGACAGCTCGATCGACGCCAAAAGCTCCCACGATTAAGTCTTAAAGAGAAGGTGGAAAAATGTGTTAATACACTTAATGTACACAAAAAGATTTAAATGCATTTTCAAAACTAAAAGGTTGCAAGGTTAACACGAGCAAGGCCAAAGCAGCCGAAATAAGTAAATAAGGCTCTCCTGTGCAAACGTGGGTCGCAGGCCGGCCGGACGTTCACCCAGGTGGCCAAGAATTCCTTCGGTGGATACACAGTAAAAAGAGCAGCAACCAGGAGGCACACGGCCGTCAACAGAAAGCTTTCCAGGTGCCCACGGATTTAACAATCCCATTGCAAGACTTCTTTCTTTTCCCCATTTCTCTCATTTCAAAAAGAAAAGCAAACCAGAAAGCATACCCAGGGATGCTGCCTATGACCACAGACAGTCTTTGAGTCAACAAGAACCAAAAACAAATCAAAACAAAAACCAAGAACCAAATGCATTAGTTTTGACCGGTAACAGGGACCGAGGATTCTCAGGTTTGGAAAAAAGGCAACAGGCTGCACCTCGTCACACACCCAAGTAAACTCGGGGAAGGCCTTTCAGAGCAGAAAAGCATCATGTAGGCACAAAGATGGGTACAAAGAATTAAATAAAAACTATAAACTTCCTTATGCCTAAAATATATAATATGACAAACTGGAAAACATATACATACAGAGTTAAAAATTTAAAGCAAGCTTTAAAAAAGAATGAATAAAAGAAAATCACATTTTAGTAGAAAAGAAAAATATCATAAAAATACAGAAATGGACAAAAATGCCTACCTATACTAAAAATGTTAGTTGAATTAAAATAATAATGTCTACCTATTATAGAGTCAAAATTACTTTTTAAAAGGCAGAGCGGGGAGCCCGGTGTGGGAGTTGGGGGCAAATACACGAGGCCTGCTGGGAACAGGACTTCTAAAAGCCAGTATGTCTGGCAGGCTGTGGTACAAGGCCATTTCTGCTGGTTATAAGCGGGGTCTCCGGAACCAGAGGGAATATACAGCTCTTCTTAAAATTGAAGGTGCTTTATACCCGGAATGAAACTGAACTCTACTTGGGCAAGAGATGTGCTCATGTGTACAAAGCGAAAAACAACGCAGTGACTCCAGGTGGCAAATCAAACAAAACCAGAGTGACCTGGGAAAAGTAACTCGGGGCCACCAAAACAGCGGCATGGTGCGTGCCAAGTTCCGAAGCAAGCTTCCTGCTAAGGCCATCGGACCCCGAATCCGTGTGATGCTGTGCCCCTCAAGAATTTAAACTAACGGAAAATAAAAGATAAATAAAAGGTACCGGCATGGGAAAGTGATCACTTATTTATTCATAGGAAGGGTTTTAAAGAGTGACAAAACATTCTGTGGAGGGAATGTACCATCAGCTTTCCAAAAAAAAACAGTGCACACCTTTAGAACAGCAATTTTAGAATTGCTTCCTAAGGGGCCGGGGAGATGGCTCAGTGGAATAAGCGCTTCCCTGGCAA